ATCAGAATCTTGAGATAAAAGATCATTTTATCAGAAACGAAATTTTTCAGGTAATAACATTAATTTCAACAATCAGCTAAATGGTGTTAATAGTTTGCCCAACAGAAATTATTTCTATTAATATTATTGTTTAATTGAACTGCTCGATTGTTGTAACAATCAACAATTTATCATTAAGCTTTCGCCTGATTGTAGCCCAATTAAGTTAATTATAATGGTTATGATGATGTTCCTGTTATTATTATTGATTATATAAGTTAATTTGAATCAAATTGTAATCCAGAGTAAATATTAATATAATAGTAATCCCTGGATTTGTTTGTAAACGTGAACAAACAATTAACTTTGCAACAAGATAAACGATTGGTAAACAACAACAATTAAACATCATTAGCTGATTAATTTAATGAAAACGTGATGACCAAATGATTATGATTGTTATTAGATATTTAATTTTGAATTACTTTTCATGATTTGAGTGACAATTTAGGAATAGAAAATTAAATTTTCAATTATATTGTTAGTATTTTAATCAGCCAGACGATTAATCAAATTGCTCATAATCTAATTGAGATCAGAAAATTAAATATCGTTTACATGTTTAAGCAATTTCATTGAAGTTCAAAGATTTTGCTTCAAGATTGCTTTCAATAGATTTCATGATAATCATGATAATGATAAAAGATTTCTAGATGATCCATTAAGATAACATGTATACAAGACAGAATGAAGAAAGAAATAGAAAAGTTCTAACTCTTTTCGAGAAAAGTTTCATTTTCTGTTATTTCTCATTCTTTTCAAATTTCTTTTCATGTTTTTATCATTTTTGATCATCTTTACAATCACCCTGATGATGAAGATGATGGTTAAAGATGATGGAAGAGAAAATTGAAATTCGTAAAGACCATTACATGAAATAATTTGATATAATGATCATCATGAAAGGAAAGGAAAAAATAGAGAAAAGATTCAAAGTTTTTATGAGAAAATAAAATTGATATGAAAGTTTTCAATGTAACATGTTGACAATCAATGAAGCTGATCAATGATGATCATTTAAACATATTGAAATACTACAATAAATAAAACATGAAAATATCATGATTATCAAGTGAAAAATGAAAAGTATATCAAATTGCTCATTGGGAGTGAAGTTTATGTCTAAGCTTCAAGTATCATGATTAACTGTTAATTATGGTCCATTGAATTGATTTCATTGATATATGTTTGCACTCAACAATTAGTGGGTGTGTTGATTAGATGATAACTTTGAGGATTATAACAGATAGTCAACTTTTTGAATGAACAATCAATGCTCAGATTGTTGATCCCAATTTGATTTATCAATCGATCAGCTCTTAATATCGTTCAACTGGAAAAAAAGAAAATATCATTTACAATCAACAATTTAGTATATAGATTGTAGATTATCCTTTTCATGAGGTGAAATTGTTCGTTTTTAATATTCTTAACATTATGGTGAAAAAAGTTCTAAATGATATTCAAATACAGACCACTATCGTATTCATTTGATATTTATCATTATTATTGATGATATTAATAGTTATCTTATGTTAATATCTGCTAATGATTATGTAACAATTAGTAGTAGTAATACAATATTTTAATTGTTTACTATTATCATCCCATTATCATGTAGTCATTAGTTTGGAGTTGATTAGTAGAGCAATTAAAATGTAAATAATTTATGATTGATTTATACCAATCAATTTTGACTATTATCTCTTGATTTAGTTAATTACGAAAGGTCAATCTATCTAATAGTAGCTCCTGTTGATTAATATTCTCGGTGTTTATCAAGTAAATCGTTAATTTTGGCAAGTATAATCAAACTATTAGTTGATTAGTTTAAATTATCGGTGATTTATTTGATTCTCATCAATTGATCTGAAAGTAGTCTGTTAGATATCAAACTGTATTAGTATCAATAGATTAAAATAGAAAATAAATTTAGTTATTAATCGATGATTAGAATAATAGTAAATCAGATTTTAAGTTGAAAAATTAATTAATCTAATTGTCAATAGTAAATGTGAATCTCAAGAAATCAATATTTGTAATTATCATAACATTGCGCAAATTTGTAAGCAAATTGGCCAATTGGTCATCTATTTGTAATGATTATACATTAATTGTTACAGTTAAATGTCAACAAAACTAATTAATTCATTGTAATAACAATTTGATTCCCTTTGAATTAATGATTGGAACATAATTGTTACATAATATTAATCATTACGTAGATGCGATCTAATCAATTGGAAAGTAATTTGAGAAAATTGGGTTAATTCAAATTGTATCTAAACAGAATAGCAAGTAAATTGTTGATATAATCATTTCTGATTATGATTAGGTAAACAATGAGTATATTATTATCAAATTAAATTATCAATCTAAATTGCTGCTTCTTTTTTTAATAACTTTTTCTAATGGGATTTTTTATCTGCTTGTATTGTTATGATCATTTTTGGTAAATTTACTAATTCATTCACTGTCATCGATTGTTATTAATAATATCTTGCCCAAAATGATCAACTAAATTGTTGATAAGTTTAATTTTTAATGATGTTAGTGTTATTACTTAATTGTCAATCGATAAATTGTTTCTTCGTATATCTTATTGTGATGGACAAGAAAGTTAACTTATATAAAATGACAATAAAAGTTGAAAAAATTATAATTGTTATTATTGTTTTTCTAGTTCAAGGTTAATTGTTTGTGATGATTTATGTTCAGTTAATGTATTTTATCAAATTAAATTTGATTGTCTTGTTAATCATTTTTTTTATAAAACAGTGACGGAAGACAATTATAATTTAGATTAAATTTCAAAAGTAATAATCAAAATCCGATCAACAAAAGGAAATCCCTTCCAACTTGATAATACAATAATATGATAATAATAATAATAATATGAATGATGTAATTGTAATTGTAATTGTTAATCAATAGGAATATGGGAAAAAATACTAATCCATTGATTATGGTAATCAAAGTAATCAAGTAAAGATATTTTGATTAGATGGACAAAAGTATAAATTGGGTTTAGCAAACTACTGGACAATGTAGGTTAATACAATTAAGTAATCAGATTAGATCAGTAAAATTAAATCTGAAGTAAACTAATGAAAGAAAAGAAAGTAAAAAGTTAATTCTTACAATTAAGTTTTGATTAAAAGGTGAGATAGACATAAATCACTCTAAGTATATGAAAGTTAATTGTAAATCAATAGATTTCAACACATGGAGAGAGGGAGGGAGAGAATTAAAAATGAATTTAATAAAATACGTTAGTGGTTTTATTGGAAGTGTCATTTGTTAATCGTGATTGTGATTAAATCAGAATTGACAGGTAAATATAATGGGAGAAGATGGAAAGAGAGAGAGAGAGAGAGAGAGAGAGAGAGAGAGAGAGAGAGAGAGAGAGAGAGAGAGAGAAAATTAAGCTTAGCTAATGTGAAATGAATGTTAATATGCATGAATGAGTCAAGATTTCTTGATTCTTACTATTATTATCATTGGTAATCAGCTTATTAGATTCACCATTCCCTATGTAATATTATGTAAAAACTTTATTATTTAACTATCAGGGTATTAACATGATTATTATCTTACTGAATAATCTTTATCTATTTCTTTGATTGTCTCACCATTTTTGCATCATTATTATATCGTTAATGTGATTCTGTCTGATCATGTTAGTCGATTAGCTGAATAATGTTAAAAGCATCAAGTAAATGGTTAGCAAACACATAGATACAAATTAAAGATGAAGTAGATTAAATTAACTTTCAGGGAATGAAAAAAAAAGATCAACAATCAATAAATTATATAAAATTAACAAGCTAATTTTTAGTTAGGTTGGTATAATAGTGAGGTGTGGGTGTAGGTTGGTGTTGGTGAATAATGTATAACTTTATAAGTAAATCTAAAGGTAATTAAATTGAATAAGAATCACGGAATCCAACAAATGAGAGATCTAGATAAATATACCCTTAGGGTATTCATGTCGCTTTGTTTTCTGTTCAAGAAAGTGTGAAAATTCATCTTACATTCTCAACTTTAGTTAATTTAATTAGTACAACTTGACAAAAGGAAATGATCAAGAGTCGAGGTGTATGCAAGAATATAATCAACTAATATTGTAGCGGAATTAAGATGGCAAAGGAATCAAATTTTGGAATGACAATTGAGACTAACAAATCGGTTTCGAATTGTATTAAATCAGATTAATCTTTTGATGAATATAATTGATCTAGACATACCTGAACACTGGACCTAAAAGATTTTCAATTTAATTTTTGAAAAATCTAATTAGATTTTAAGTTCTTTCGATTTTTATCGACTTTTGTTCTTATTTTTGATTGTAATTGTCGAATCCCTTTGATTGCTAGAATGATTTTGCTTCCAATTTGCCATTTATTCTATTTTAATTCTATTTTTCTTTTCAATTTTATCCAGTGAATTGCGTCGATTTGTTCGTGTTCTTGAAATGTTGGCACCATTGATTCATCCTGAATGGAAAATATTAACCTCCAATGCACTTTACATATCGGTTTGTGTGGCTCTACTTTTGGGCACCTCAGGTCAGGTCATCGCTTTGACCAATAATTTTGACATCAAATTGCGAACTGAAAATATTATGGCTTCTTGGCAGGAAACAAATTGGACCTCATTTTGATCAATGCTGGAAAAGCGGCTATTTAGCTTTGGCTCCGTACGATTGTATTATTGGTATTTTTCCCAAAACGGTAACTAATCAGCTCAAAGAGGGAGGATATTTTTACGACTATACAACATTGTCTCGAAGATGCCCAATGGCTCATTGGAGACCATTAAAACGACCACTCAACAAGTGTAATTAAACGTAACCATCTCGATGCAAACACGTTTCACTCATTTCTCGTAATTGACAATCATAAGAAGGATATTCAAAAGATGAGAGATTCTTAGCTGATCCAAGACTTGTGAAGAAGAAATTTGTTTCTCGCTGGAGCAAAATCAACTGTTATAAATTATTTATCTTCTCGTTTTTAGCTTTATTCATAATAATTTCGATCATCTTCTTTAATCTTCCACCATCAAGCTGGTTAATTACCACGAATATGAAACAAACTGCAATGCAAACGTCAAGAAAGTCACAATTTAAAAGCAAATCAATCATATCTGGAAAGAGAAAAAAAAATGAATTGAAAAAAAGCACAAAGGCAATAATGTAAAAGATTAACAGGAGATCATTGAAACCGTGTATACTTACCATTTGTCAAAAGATTAATTGTTAACATGCTGAAATGAATAAAAAATTAATAAAATAAACACAAAATTATTTCAAATTGATTGAAAATAAAATTAAAAAATTACAATAATTGACACGAGAAACAAAAACAATTTACCTTTTGAATTTTCGGTGAATTAAAAACAAAAAACAAGTAAAAGAATCGGATAAATACACATTGAAGACCATTAAAACTGAGAGAATTTGTTTTTTACCATGGTGAACACCAAATTCATTTATTTCACAGCAAGTTCACTTTTCAGCTTTCAGGTCAAGACGGAAAAATTAGCTTCCATAATTGTCCCAATAAATGAACTAGGACAATTTAATTATGTACAATCAGTAAGAATCTAAGATGGAGAAAAATTGATTACTTTCAATTTTCATTATGATTTCGTTGATTTTGATCGTTCTTTTCACTAAATAATAGGCTGGGAGCAAGTAGTTCTCGAACCAGAAAAGAGAATAAATTAATTTTAATCCACAAACAATTAAAATTAACACAAAAAAAATTAGATAAAAGGGTTAACAGTAATTAGAATGGAAAAAAAGAAATTAAAATCTTTTCTTTAGAAATTAAATTTTTCTCTTTTTCGATACATCGTTTGGATTTCGATGTATCGACCAATTGCCATTTGTTTTCTTTTTCTATCAAAGAGACTTTTAAATACGCGGTTACAATTATTGAGAATTTAATTTAATTCTATTTGGTTTAAATTGTTTGGTTTCTGGAGAATTTTAGTTTATAATTTGATCGAGCAACAGTTTGTCTTAATTTGTCCAAATTTGTCCGATTGTGATTCTTTTGGTTGAGTAACTTTTCTCTTAAAAATTGGAGAAAACAAGAAATAGAAACAAAAAATGTCCAGTGAATGTGGTCCAAGGTATTTAAGAGTTAAACGTAAATCTGATGAGGATCCATGTTACTCTTCAAGACAATATAAACGATGTAAGTTTGTTGCATCAGTGAAAACAACCTTATTACAAGATGTTCTCAAAGTAATTAACAATCAGAACATTCAAGATGCTGATATAATCGATGTTAATCAGACTGTTGGTGAACATGACGAAGGTAAATTTTTACTTGTTCCTTTTATTTTCTTCTCAATGTTATTTTGTTTATTCTTTTTCTTTTCCTATAACCTTTTAACTATCATAATTAATATTCTATTTCTCTTAATTTGAATCATTCTAATTGACTGTATTTTCTAATGTTATTGTGTTTTTTGTTCTATTCTTTTCTCCCATTTTGTTGTTGATATCTTTGTTTCTACATTTCCATCTAGATGAAGCACAACACAGAGAGCTAAGTGAAGAAGATTCAACCTTCCGTGGATTTGTTTATGACATTTATTGTCTACAAGATTTGGATAATAATTTGTACAGTGTAAATGAAGAAGATGAAGAGTCCGATAATGATTCAAATGATGAAAATAATCCTCGTAATGATTATCCAGATGAAGAAAGTTATGATTTTAATGAGTTAAATTATTATCAGGATTGGCAAGATGAAGGATTACAGATTACGAGAAAAATTTGATGATTTTACCATGAAGGGAAGAGGTGATGAAGATGAAACTTCCAGTGAAGATTCACTTTCTCGTAATTGTGATGATGAAGCTGATGATGGTGATGATTTTGATCCAGACAAGGTTGATGTACCTTTTAGTAGAGGATTAAACAAAACCACAATTTAATTCTATTCATCAAAATCAAAATATCTTCCTCATCTTCTTCTTACCTTTGCATCTCTCTCTCTCTCTCTCTCTCTCTCTTTCTCTCTCCATATCTTCTTATATCTTCTGTATACTATCAATATTATACATTCTATGTATAATAATAATGATATATTTTCTCCTCTCCAATTTGATATCTCCCAAATTTAATGAAACAATTTTGTGAAATGATCATAATTAAACAAATTACAAATGTGAAAATCAATTTGTTTACCATTTCTAAATGGTTACATTGATTTAACATTATAACTGCACAACAACAAGACAAACTTCAGAGTCAAATCAAACCTCTGAAGTTCACTTAACCATACTAACCAATTTTCTAACAATCAATAACTAATTTGATAAACATAATTTTCTCTAATTGTAATTAAATTAAAAACAATTCATTGGAACCGCCAATTTAAGGTTGCATCATTTACCTTCCATCACTATAGAAACCCTTTAAAACGATCATATGTTTTTTTTGTTTTCTTTGCAGTTTTTTTTCTGTTGATTTAACTGATTCTTTTCTTTCTCTTCTCTTCTTTTTATAATTCAATGGTTTTATCTTCGCTTTGTGGTTGATTTTGTTTGTTTTTTCCTTCATTCTATTGGAAAGTAACCTTGTAAAAGAAAAGTGTATTTGGATTGAAAAAATGCCGAAAAAAATGGGAACCAATTCTAAGGCTGTTGAAGCTCGTGCTAGAAAAGATGAAAAGAAACGAGCTGAACACGAGAAGGTGCAAAGGAAAAGGAAGACGCTTATTGGAAGACGATGATAAACAATTAGCGAAGAAAATTCAGAGAAAGGCCGAAGCCGATAAGAAGAAAGAAGAAGCCGTCGCTAAAAAGGCTCAAAACAAGCCTTGTACGAAGAGGAAATGGCCTCGATTAAAGGGCCAAGCGGTGGAGGCGGTGGAACATCTAAAGTGACCAGAGCTGAAATCGCCTTTAAATTGGAAAATCAAAAGGTTGAAAAGCCGAAACCAAAACTGATCGAAACTCCAATTGAAGAAAATCTAAACCGAATCAACGTGGAAGGCGAAGCTCGTTCTGTAGATGAAGCAATTGCTGTTCTAAGGTGCGAATATTTATCCACTATTTTCTCTAATTTTATTCTTTTCGAATTGTTTTTCTAATTGTTTTTCGATTTCTTTTCTTCTTTCTAGTATCAAAGACGAAGAATTAGATCGACATCCAGAGAGAAGGGTTAAAGCCGCTTACAATAGTTTCGAGGAGAAAATGTTATCCAAATATAAGGAAAATCCTAATCTGCGATTATCTCAAATCAAGCAAATGGTAAAAAAAGATTGGATGAAATCTCCTGAAAATCCACTTAATCAACCACACACAGCATATAATTCATCTGGTAGGAATTAATTGTCAACCATTAATCTGCCATCACGATTATTTAATCAGCATGATAGCCTCACATTGATGACACTTTGGTTACTATGAAAACAAATTTGCTGACAATATAAATTGTTTACAAAACGAGAACAACAAAATTGTAAATTTTATGATCAATTGATTGAATAAGTGATGTGTCACCAACAATTAACAATTTACTGAATTGTCCATCAATTTGACTGGAAAGAAACACAAAGTGAACATTAATTTGAATTGTCAAATCAACCGATTGAAAACAACAATCATAATATTTGTATTGAAGAATTGATATTTTCCTAATTCTCAATGATTTTCACAATTTCATTTTTTTCTTCTTGATTGTCAATTTAAAGTTTGTTGTTTTCTAAATCAAATTATCACAACAACAATACAACATTGTACAAAATGTGCTTTTTCTCAATTGTAACTATTAATTGTATTTTGATTAATGATCGATTGAACAATCAAAGGGAGAAATCAACTCACCCAAGAAATAATTTTCTCTCCATGTTATTAACAGAAAATGTTATCATTTAGTTAATTGTCAATCTCTGGTTAATGTTGATCTCTTTTTATTTTTGCTGATCAACAGGTGAATTAATCAACATGATAATCAAAGTGAAAGATTTATATTGTGTAAATTAAAGGGTGGAATTGATGAGATAACAATTACCACTGATTGTGACCCATTAATTGTTGCTTTTTGTTAATCATTCCAATTGTGATAATCACTTTTAAAAGAGAGAGACAACAATCAGCTGAACATTGAAATTGAACAATTAAATGATGATAATATAGTAAATTGAGATGTTCCTATTTTTCATTGATGGTAAAAAATGTTGCCAAAAATATTTAATTGTTAACAATTAATCAAATTGGCAGTTGTTTAAATCTAATTGTAAACTCAAAGCTCAATGAACAATTTCAGTTGATCAACAAAAGGGAAACAAAAAAAAAGTCAAGTGTCAACAAAAACAATCAACAAATTGTGACAATCATCATGATCCCTGATTATTATTATGTGACTTTTAATTATCCACCTCTAACCAAAGATAATCAACTCAATTAATCATTTCAACCATAACAACAATCAAGTCTATTGTGACAAAATTAATTATCCAACTAGATTTAAACAATATTGTTATTAACCCTTCGGTATATAAACAAATTGATTGTCGATCCAAACACAATCAACTGATTCATTGAACTTGAGGTTAATTGTTGTAAATTGAACTTATAATTAGTAGAAATCCCAACAATCCAATAAAATCTAAATTGTTGATTGATTCTAAATTGGATGAAAAAGAAAAGTAAACAACCTTGAGAAACGATTAACCTGAACAACGAACAATTAACTGATTGATTACTTACCAATATATTCTTGATTATCATCATCATCTATTTACATCAATCGATGCAAAGATTAACAATCATAATTAAGTTGAAAAAGAAAATTAAAAGAAACCAAATTGTAAAAGTGAATAAAAAATAATAACAATTCGTCAGTTTATCTTGAGGAACAACAATAACAATGGAGATTCCCAATGAAACTAATTCAGAGAGAATTGAAAATTTCAATTCTCCATCAACATCGATCACCTCATCTTCCTCATCATGTTCATCCTCATCTTCACCAAATGTTATCAATTCAATTCCGGTTATCAAATCATCAGAATCATCATCAGTTCCTCAGGTAGTCATCATGAATCCTTGTCTAGCTGGTTCGGTAAGGCGATTTATCATCTCTCTCATTTGCCCTTTTCTCTTTCTCTCTTCTCTGTCTATTTTTCATCTTCTTCTTTTTTGTCCCTTACATCATCTTCTTCATCATCATCACCAAATTCAATTTCATCTTTAGAAAAAAAGCTAATTCTTCTATTCTCCCTCTTTTTTATCTTCTCTTTGTCTCTGTCTTTTTTTTATTTTCTTTTTTTTCTCTAATCTTTGTCTCTCTCTCTCTCTCTTTTCTGTTTCTTTCTCTGATTCATGTCGCTGGTTCTCTCTCACTTTGGCCTGCAATTGAAACAAAAAACACCCATCAACAAATTCTCTATCAACTGTGTTAATTACTCTTCTAATCAACTTCCTAAACTGTTTTTCTGTCACAATTCAAATTTGTCTCTTCAAATCAACGGAACAACAACAAAAAACCACCTACATTAATCCTCTTCATCTAATCGGAAATTATCATCATCATGGTTCATAATCTTAATCATTTGTCAACAATTTGGTTACTTTGTGATTTTTGATTCATTTGGAAAACAATGTCTCTCTCTTAAAACTGTGATAATCTCTAATCCTTGATTACCAAACTTCTTAATCTCCATTTGTTTCCCTCTACTTGTTGATTATTCTCTCTCTCTCTCCAATTGTTTTTCTCCATGTTAATGACCATTGGAATTATTTTAAATTCTAATCTTTTCTATTATAAATTGCCATCATCATCTTCATACTTTTCTCTCTCACATAATCACCTTTTTATCTATTGATTCACCTTTTGTTTATCAACATCATCTCTCCATTTTGTTGATTTGGTCTCTCTCTCTCTCTTTCTCTTCCTTCATCTTTTCTCATCCGTCAACGTTTCAAAATCTCTTCTTGTTTTCTACTTTTTTTTGGAAAAAAAATTCTATTCTATTCTCTTCTCTCTCTCCCCTGAATATATCATCTTTATCTTCTTCATAATATTCTGGTTCCTTTGTTCCTCATCTGGTTATTGTTTTCTCTTCCATTTTCTTCTGTCATAAACTGTCTCTCTCTCTCTCTCTCTCTCTCTCTCTCTCTTGATTCCATTGAATCAGCAGCCAATCAACACCATGGGCAAAGGTGACATGGATGAATCTCTAGTCTCCAATGAGGCTATTCCAACAACCAAATACGAAGAGCTTTCCAATCTTGTCCAGACCCGATCATCTGTACGTGATAAACTTTACCGATTAGTACAAAATATTTTCTTCCGTTTAGCCACTTTAATCTTAATCATAATCGATTGTATTCTAACGGTGGTTGATCTTTCCCTTGGAAACAAAGAGGAATCACTTCAGAGCTCCATTGACACCGTTGTCTTAATTTTCGCCATCATTTTTTGCATTGAAGTTTGTCTTCGTATCTACGCCATCGGGTAAGTCTTACAACCTTTTTCTTAATTGCAGTTAGTCATCAACCTCGATTAATGATCATCTTGATCACTTTCACTTTTTTTTCTTTCGTTGTCTAAATTTCATCATCTCTCTTTTATTTTTTTTCCCATTGCGCCATTAGGGTGGATCATTTTTTCATCGATTGGTACAATTGTGTTGATTTCGTAATTATCATAATGAGCTTTATGATAACATGTATTTATATCATCATTCACATGAGCAACAATTTCGCTAAGTAAGTAAAATATTATAGTTACATTAGATTTAATTGATTTGATATAACACAATCAGTGATTATCAATTGATCAAGGGTTAACCATGAATTGATTGTTGCTGCTTTTTAAATGTTTGTTTATCAATTGAACACTCCTCTTACTCTAATTTTTTTTTCATTATCATTCTGATTAATCTTGATTTTTTTTCCTATTTCCATTAGATTGATTATATTGGCTCGATTAATTCGAGTAATGGTTCTGGTTCGATTGTTTCGTGTTGTCACTGAACCTAAAAATATTCAGAAAGGTGTTCGCTTGGTTGTCTCTGAAAATAAGCGACGATATCGAGGTGATGGTTTCGATCTTGATTTAACTTATATTACACCTCGAGTAATTGGAATGTCCTTCCCATCATCTGGATCTTGGGCTTTCTATCGTAATCATATTAAGGATGTCGCTCGATTCTTTGATTCTAAACATGGTCCTGATAATTTTAAGATTTACAATTTATGTTCTGAGAAAAGTTATGATGTCAACTATTTCCATGGTAGAGTTGCACGTTATCCAATCGACGATCATAATGTACCTACATTGGAACAGATGATGAGATTTGTCGAAGATGTAAAGAATGGCTTGGACAAGATGAGAAGAACGTAATTGCCGCTCATTGTAAAGGTAATTAGAAAAATTCAATTTGATTGTTTGTAGAAGGAGAACTAATATTGTATACATTTCTTTTTGCTTCTCTACTTATGGTTCACTCAAAGGTGGAAAGGGTCGGACTGGAACAATGATCTGCGCTTGGTTGATTTACAATGGACATTTCGATGAGTGTAAAGAGGTTCTAGAATATTTTGCCGATAGACGGACTGATACATCGGTGGGGAAAAAGTACCAAGGAGTGGAAACACCAAGTCAAGCTCGTTACATTGAATATTTCAGTCGTATTATCAATCAAATGAATGGTAAACTACCGGTTGAAGGTAAAACTGTCAATCTTAAGAGTATCAGTATTGAAGGTTTATCAACGATCGGTGCTGGTGATGGTTCAGATTTAAGTGCTTCCATTATGATTGACAGATCGGAAACGTTTAATTTAGACTTTGGTACGGAAACTAATTGCACCGCTTTCTATAATAAACCCGAAGATATACTCATTATTACACCGAAAAATTGTCCATCTTTAAAAGGTGATGTTAGAATTAAATTTAATTGTCGTTCGAAAAGTGTTCCTAGGGCATATGAAGATTGTGCCTTCTATTTTTGGTTTAATTGTAATTTTATCGAAGGTAATAGTTTATCTTTAATCCGTTCCGATGTTGATAATCCTCATAAATCTAAAACATGGAAAATTTATACAGAAAAATTCAGAATTATTTGTAATTTTGATTGAGAAAATTTTTCTATTATTACTATTACTATATTCTAATAAGAGAGATTAATTAATTTATTTTTTAAAATTTCTCAAAATGAGAAATAATCAAATTTGTTTACTTCGCAATAAAATGAAAGAAATTAAAATTTTAACTAATGTATCACAATTAAAAAATTGAAAAGAATCAAAATTAACATTAAATTGTGAAAACTTTTCCATTAAATGTTATGAAACAAAAAAACACGTCAACAATTAACATTAGATTGTCGATGATAATTTTTTACAATTAAGTTAATTACATGTAAGAAGATGATGAGATGATTATTACATGAAAATTAAATGAGCAACTTTCATGACAATTAAAGTAAAAGAGGAAAACAATTAAAACGAAAAGCTTCAGAACCAAATTTGGAAAAAGTCGAAATGGTTAAAGCAATTTAGATAAAAGTAAAGATGATTAACTAATTGCAAGAAATCAACGTCTAATCAGAATAATACCGATTCATCAAACTAATCAGTCTGGGGCGGTATCTTAATCATCATTTAGACGCAGGTTTGAACCCAACACCTTGGGTGAAGGCGATGGGTAACTCAACCGATGGAGCTAAGGATAGACTCCCGGAGAAGTGAGTGATTAAAGGTAATTTAAAGTGATCTGAGGTTTGGAATTTAGTTAATTGTTGATTTAATGGGAGTTTTACTTGTTGTTAAAGGTAATTGATAGTAATTAACTTACGCTTCGTTTGCTTTTTGATGGTGTCCAACTCTTTCAATGGTCTCACTTTTTCTTCTTCTCTAATGATTTCATGTTTTGGTGATTTTTTGATTTTCTTTCCTTTTTTTTCTTATTCTTTTTCGGTTATTTTATCTAATATGTTGACGTAGAATTTTAATTTGTTCAGTGATAATTCAACTTCTTTCAGGGTATTCGATTGGAATCCTTTTGATACATTGTTCACCAATGTGTTCACTTTTTTTTCTACATCAGCTCTTATTTTCTGTAGGTCTTGGATCTCTGATTCAATAACTGCTTCGTTGATTGTTAACATTTCTTCAAGAAATTCTGGATCCATGATATAATTACCATCAACTGAGAGAGAAAGAGAGAGAGAGAGAGAGAGAGATTAATGTCAGAAAGCTTGGAAATTTCAAAGAAAATATAAAATAGTTAATGGCTAACTTTCTTCTCGGTGATTTCCTTTTAATTGTAACAAGTAGATTCCTCTCTCGTAGGGGTTAATTAAAACTCTATAAGCTTTGTTGACATAAGTTGATAGATCCATTGAAATTTGTTGATCTTTCTAATGATTAAATGAAATAATGATCAGAATAAATTAGCTCCTTATTTGAAAGCTGAATTTTTGCAAAAAAAAAACTCACTTCAGGACGATTGGTAAATTTGTCAGGGTGAAGAATCCACTGGAGATTTAAGTATTTCTTTCTAATTTGAGAAATATCAACATCATATGTGACAAATTGATCAAATATTGTAAAATAATTAATCCTTTGGTCACCTAATTGTGGAGCTAAGCAATTGGAACAGCTGATTGATAGACTACGATTAACAATTTTATCTCCACACTGCCAACTAGAGACAAAGAATTTTTGTTAAAAATATTAACAGATTATCCATGGTGGTCTATTATTATTCCTTCAGTAATTTACCATTTAATCTCCCTTAAATCAGAAAATAATTTACTAATCAATGGACGGGGCAAAATCCTTGAATCAAGAAGCCGAGAAGTGTCTTGATTAACCGAGGCCAAAGTAAACCACTTGAGATCATAATAGTCACTGGAAGGTCGAGTTAAACCATTAATAGTTCCAAATCTTTTGACAATATTTGTGATACAATTAGATTGTTTTCTAATCATAACTAAAGAAAAAAATCTGCAAATGAGAAAAAAAGCAGAAAACATTAAATCAACAATTAGAATCCAAATTAAACGAAACCAATTCACCTTAACAACACAACTATAAATGTAAACAACAACACTTACGTTTGTAGGATTAATCTAATCACTTAAATCAACCAGACAGAAACAATTAACATTACAACACTTGGCTCAACGTGTTGGAAATTAAATTTAATCTAAAGGAAATTAAATTAATTAGAACAATTAATTAAACCGACGAATTAAAATTTCACCTCAATTATGAATTCCAATTGAAAGATAAACACAAAAAGAGGAAAAAAGAGAAAAACCGCCAAAAGAAATTCAAATATCCACCAGTTTATTTTCTGTTCTTTGATCGGATTAACAAAATTGTCTCTCTTTTAATTGTTTACTAAACGTGTTTTAATTAGTTTAATTAATTTTTTCTTCTTCAATTAAATTACCAGGTAAGTTGTCGCCATTAAAATGTTACCATTTTCTTTGGAAAAATTATATTCTATCAAAATCTATTTGATTTTCTTTGGTTCGGTTTTGGTTAACATGTTGTTTCCATATTCAAGCTTTTATCCTATTCCTTTATTTTGTTAATCCTTTTTATTTTTCTCTTTTCTACCTTTAATTAATTAAATCTTTCATTTGTATTGTGTTTTTATTTTCTCGCTTGTTCCTTTAGATTGGTGTTTTACCTTTAGGTTACTTGGATCTTTTCATCTACCTTTGGTTTACCGATTGTTTTGTCTCCATTCTGTTTGGGTGGTTTGCCTATTGTTACCAAGCGTTGGAATATAATTTTCTTCATTGTTTATTATTTGATCTTTGATTTTAATCACTTTTCGTGCCAATTATAGTTTAATATTCCAAATCTTGATAGCCTAAATCAATATGGATACTAATCAGGTGAGATTCAGTTTATATTATCCAAGTGGTTTTGTGTATTTAACTAATATTTTCTTGTGTTTCGGTTTTGTCTATGGTGGAATTTAATTTTACTCAGCCGAGTGTTTTCAATCCTAAAATGTTCAATGATGAAAGAGATCAAGTTCTTGGACTATTTAATAAACTACAAGCTTATTGGGGAACTGGTAAAGCTTTTTACATGCAAGGTCAAGCTCCAATTGACCTGAATCAACATCAACCCAACCATAGATTTAAAGCTATTGGATATTCAAAGATTAAATCTGAAGAAAGTAATGAATTCAAATTTGGTGTGGTGATCAGTATGGAAGGAGGTGAAAGTCAAATGAATACTGCGATTCTACAATATGAGAATAATTTAAAAGGTATTTTCGGTCAAACCTATGGACCTAAAGTTGAGGCTACCAAAATATTACCTGATAATAAGGCGATGCTAATGATCACAGTTACCGATATGTCGACCAACCTTAAATTACCAGCTAGACAAATTATACTTTTCCTTAATCAGATGAATGTTAAAATGCAGCTACCCAATGTTTTCCAGAATAAATTCTGTCAGTTGGTACCTTTACACCCTCCCTCGAAACAAGAAATCGACGAATATCTGAAAGTTGTACCCGCTGGTATTGATGAGCTTCTTTGGAATCAAGCAAAACTTAACAATCCTGATGCTGAGAAATTTATTCCAGTTCCATTGATTGGATTTGCCGCTCTTAATGAACGTTTTAAATTACAAGAGCAAGAAGTTCATCAACAACGGATACAATTAAAGTTAATCATGGATGAGATAGAAAATATAACCAAAAGTATCGCTGTGATGAAAGTTCTAATCGAAGAATGTAAACGAAAAAATGTTCTACTCTCCAATCGAGTTTTATCTCTAATGGTTCATCAGATGATTAAAAGACGACGGTTTTATCCTGTTCAAGCTCATGAAGATCAATTAAGAGCTAAACTTGAAGACCTGCAGCGTGACATAAATGAACAGGGAAAATTAAAGGCCAATCTTAATGATTTAATGTTGAAGTTAAAGCAACTCCAAAATCATCAGATTACTCCCTCATTCTCAATTGATGAAAATCTTCTTAAAGATGTTAAATTTCACCTTTCACAGGAACAGGAAGCTATTCAACATCTCCTTGGAATAGTTAAAAGTTTACCCAAAAAAACGCAAACATAAATTTCCAACATCATGTTAATCTCCCTGCCCTTGTTTTCCAATTATGATGATCGTTAATCATCTCCGATCCATTGACTGTTCATGTTGTAAACAAAAAACGAAAAAAAAAACTTGCTATTATTAATTTCTAATTACTCTGCCTGGTCCTTGACCATGTTTTTTTCAGTTATAACGCGAATAGATCACGATAATTGTGATTTTGTGTAATAATCAAACATGATTTTAATGCGAATTAAGTTGAATAAGATTTTAGACTTTGAGAGAACAAAGGAATTAGAAAGGAAATATTAACTTGTTGAACTTTTTTTGTTCTAAAGACAAAAAAAGAGTAACATTTAAAATTGGTTAAAGATCAATTGGTTTTTTGATTTTGAAAGAATTTTTTTTTGGTGTTAATTGCCTCCAATTAGAGACCAAGGTTTAAAAATTATAAAGATGAATGATAAAGTTATCCTTTGGTTTAGAAGATTCCACTTGAACGTCCACCGGGTGGATTGTGAACTCTAATGGCTGTTCTTTTAGCTGAGTCATCAAATTGTTCACCCGTGAACTTGAAACTTGAATCTTGTTGATTGCGAACTCCACTTCGAGTTCTAGACGAATGGAAATTCATGCCTGAAGCTCCAGAGCTTGCGGTTGATAGGGCAGGTGAAGGAGGTCCGGTTGTGGGAATGGTTTCAAAGTCATTCGATTTGGTTGAGATGACCGGTGGCTCGATGCTGATTGGATTAAGTTTTATGCTGCTGGGGTTTGCTGTTGCTCCATTGTTACTGGTTAAATTGCTGCTATTGGATACGTTTGCTTGACCGGCTGGTCTAAGGGTTTCAGGTCGCTCAGATCGGTCAACCTTAACTGGTCCCATATTACGCTCTCGGTTACGCATTCTTTCATAAAGTATTGTGGGGAAAGGTGGACATTCAACATATCGTCCCTTTCCTTGCGAAACATGAATCGATCCATCTTCATCAAGAGCTACCACACCTTGTGAGATGACCACAATTGGGCCAAATTCAACCTGTAAACCTTCAAACACGTTAAAGTCCACTCGTGATTGATGAGTTTCTGCTTTGATGACTCGTGGCTTTTTACCCCAAATAACAATATCAGCATCCGAACCAACAGCGATTCTACCCTTTCGTGGATAAATATTGAAAATTTTAGCTGCATTTGCACTTGTTACGGCAACAAATCGAGTTGGATCCATTTTACCGGTTCGAACTCCTTTCTCCCAAACAACCATTAATCGCTCCTCAATTCCATTGACACCATTGGGAATCTTAGTAAAATTATCTTTACCCATTGCCTTTTGTTGTGCAGAAAAGACAATGTGATCTGATCCAACAACATCAAGAACTCCGGCAGCAAGAGCGTTAACTAATCCTTCGGGAGTGGTTCGGTCTGGTCGTAGAGGTGGTGACATTACATGACCGGCAGCATGTTGCCAACATCGATTGTAGTAATGGATTCCATCAGTACCAATGGCCGAGGCAAGAGTTTCACCAATGACAAGTACACCACGAGATCGCGCTCGATTAACTTCTTCAGCTGCCGATTTACTCATTACATGAACAATGTAAAGAGGACATTGAACATGATGAGCTAAAACGGATGCCCGATGAACAGCTTCAGCTTCAAGATCTTCAGGGCGAGATTGAAGATGACCTTCAGGTCCATTGACACCCATTTGAAGAAGCTTTTTAGCAAGAAAATCAATTAGATGACCATTTTCAGCATGAACTTTGGGAACGGCTCCAATTTTCTTACAACAGTCAAAAAGTTTAATTAATTCATGATCTTCCAACATAAGGGTATCTTTATAAGCCATAAAAGCCTTGAAACAATTGACACCTTTCTGTCGAACCAGAGTTTCCAATTCTTTATCAGTTGAACCATCTTTCCATTTAGTGATTGCCAAATGAAGACCATAATCACAACAAGATTTACTATCAGCAATCGAACGATACTTTTCAAACAATTGGGTAGGCGAAAGATTAGTATCAAGGGGAGTGTCAAAAATACAAGTAGTTCCACCGGCAAGGGCAGCCCGAGTTCCAGCATAAAAATCATCCATTGACTGAGCGCCCATGAAACTACCCTCCAAATGGGTATGTGGATCAATACCACCAGGAATAACAAAGTGACCCTTAGCATCGATAACCCGACATCCACCAGGAACAATGAGATTAGTTCCAATTTGCCTACGAAGAACAAAGGAAATATCAAAAAAAGATTAACTTCTCAGCAAAACAAACAAAAGACATCACATAACAATGAATAAATGGAACCTATATAACAGAAGTGAACAAAAAATCTGTTTCCATTTTTCATGAAGATGATCATTTTCATCTTATTGTCATAAATGGTTCACAATTAACTTACTTAATCAAACCATCTTCAATGAAAATATCAGCATCGAAAATGGAATCAGCGTTAACACATTTTCCCTGCCTGATGACAATACGATTTTGAGAAGAGGAATTCATTGTACAACTACAACAATCAGGTTACGAATAAAAACTGATTAGATCTTCTCACACCCAAAGAGTTCTTCTAACTCATTGAGAGTCTCAAATTGAGAGAGGCAAAAAAAAACGGACAAATACAAAAAAGAAGAGAAAATAGACAGAGAAAGAGAGAGAAAAGGTTAAAAAGAAAGAAAGAAAAACAAGTCGACTGAGTAAGAGGGAAACTGATCGTAGCCGAAGCTCTTTCGACTAACCCACCAACTCGGCTAACCCAAAGTTCTATAAAAAGAATAAAAGGGGAAACCGCCAAATTCGAATTAATCTAACCGATCACATTTTTGGTTCTCTAACGAATTTGATTAATTTCATTTCTCTCATTTGGTCTGTTTGTTTTTTTTCCGCAATTTAATTTCGTTTAATTTGATTGTTCTGTTTTTGTTTTTCATCAATTTTCTAATTAATCTCATGCTAGAAGTGATTTAATTTCTCTCTCTTCAATTTTGATCCGTGAAATGGTTTCGCTTAATAGAAAAGCTTATTGGAAACAATTAGCTCCAAGACCTTATTCATCTCTATGGATTTGGTTTGCTACACGTTCACTTAAACAACAATCACCTGATTATTTTTTACCGCATGGTTTTGGTTATACTGATGAAGATGATGTTGAAGACGAAGATGATGATTATGATGATTTATATTATACCAATGGAGATACACATGGTCCTCTTGAAAGTATTAATGATGACGAATCAATAGATTGGTTGGACTCAACATTGGCCAGTTTGGATACTTCTAATTTAGATTCTTCTAATTGTGTTGTTCAAAGTATTCCTGTTGTTGTTAACCAGTCATTACAATCAACTGTTATTAGTGACAAAGAATCAAATTCATCAAAATCAAAGGTAATTAATTATTTTATTTTCTATAATTTTTTTCTACTCTTTTTCTCTTAAAAAGCTTTTTACAACAAAGGATTAGTTTTTTTTTCTTCTTCCTTTGGTTGACTTATTTTCCTTTGGTTTTCTCTACAACATTGTCATTTATATTTTGTGAACTGTTTTGGTTCTATTAAATTTTTCTATCCTCTAGATTTCTCGTGTTAAATCTAAGGATAATAAGAGAAGAAACTAAATACTAATTCCAACAATAAGAGTGGTAAAATTTGAATGAATCGAGGAAGAAATTATTGCAACCGCCATTAGAAGGGAACTTATTACCAGGAAAACAAATGAAATTGACGATGAAACAATGAAAATATTGGCTATCAATGAATCGCATACAATTGTTGTGCTCAAGAGAAATGATAAAGGACAATTTTCAGTAATCAATGGAGATGCTAAGGTTTCCATGGTGGTTGGTTCAGTTGTTTGTGATGGTTTCACCCTGGAACCGGAAAAATCAACTCTCATATCAACAGGTTTTGGTAGTTACCAGATAGTTTTTGAACCGATTAAATTTCAATCATATCCTTCAAGGGAACATCTTATTGAAATTTTTGAAAATTCTACAATTGAAATACCAGAATCAACGAGCTCAACTATTCTTGATTATCTAACTAATCGTGATTCAAGTTTGTCCCAATGTATAATCATTTCATTCCAAAAATGGAGGTGGCCTTCATTAGCCGCTTTAAGATTATATATTCAACCGAAGTGACCTTTCCCATTGGCTTCAGGTCTCATTTACCGATATCCGATCACCTGTAGTCCAGTGGTCAGCAATGTTAAAAAGATTAGTTCAAGAGGTGAAATTGAGTAAGTAAATGATAAAAATTAATATATTCAGTACATGTACATGTATATTGTATTCATTAAATGTTTCATTCATCTTTTGTTTTTACCTTTCAGAAACTGAATCTGCCTCTTCCAGGCCAATTGATAAATCATCAACTCGAGGACCAAGAATCATCATGTTAGGTGGTGTAAATGCCGGAAAATCAAGTCTCACTCGTCACCTTTGTAATCAGATAATCAGCTCAGTTACAGATGAATCATTTATCGTTGATTGTGATCCTGGTCAATCAGAATTTTCACCTCCAGGGATAATCAATGCAGCTCGTTTACAAGATCCAATTTTATCACCACCATTTGTTAATTGTCTTCGTTTTAACAAAAATATTATCACAAGTTGTTCTGTTGCTGGTATTGGCCTTCAAAATAATCCCGATCTTTATATCTTATGTGTAAAGTACCTTTGGGAAACATTTCTCGATTCATTATCTGAAGAAGATTCTTGTAAACCAGTGATAATTAACACAATCGGTTGGACTCAAGGTCTTGGTATACATTTAATGGTTGACATATTACACATTTTCCAACCAAATTATGTTATTGAAATTAAACGACAACAAAATTGGAACGCCAAAGATAATTTCCCTTTCGATTGTAATCCTGATACTCTTAATCAATTGAATGGTTGGCTAGTTTATCAACCTCAACGAGGGTCAACTACAATTAGTGTTCAAGCAACTTCAAAGTGTTCACTTCAACCTTACCTTAATTATGACTATATTAGAATTTCAAATCAATCTAATGCCAAGAAAAATCCAGGAGAAGCTCGAAAGAATCGAATTAGAAATCAACTTGCTTATTTGTGTTTAATGGATGAAATATTGTTCAAAAGTTTATTCGAACTTGAATTGGTCTCTCTTAACCTTGAAAATCTTTATTTTCATGTTCAACACGAATTTGTTATCGATAAACATCTTATCCCCCATGTAATGAAAGATTCATGGGTTCATCTGTGTCTAATAGATAATCCTGAAAGTGATAAACAACCAATTGAAACAATCACTCAACCATCAACTTCATCAATGATCATTAATCCAACAACCTGTTCAATACCTCCAGGATTTACAGCCGCTGATGCTAATCCAACACTTTGGGAACCACCAATTAATGTTAATTTAAAGATATTACCATTTCTCCGGGAAAATAAATGCCTTGGATCAGCAATCGTACGAGATATTGATCTAATTAACAAGAAACTACTCCTATTGACACCAGAATCACCTGAAAGAATCGCTCAAATTAATTGCATTGTTAGACCACAAGGAATATTTATCCCAGAACAATTACAATTGGGTAGTAATCAATTTTTCATTGATAACCAAAAAGTGATTTAATCCAAAAATAAATATATATCAATGCAACCACTGAATAATAATTAGAGGGACATTAAAAGACCACAGGAAGCAGAAGAAAAAAAATAAAATATCCGATGAAAAAAACAATCGTCAATTGATTTTGAGCAATAATTTCACTTCTTAACAATCAAATTTTGCATCATATCAAAACGATTTCCATCAGGTTGAACGGTTAAAATTTTCCCCGTTGAATCTTCAACCAACATGAAACCATGATCATCGATGCCCTTGATGATTACTTCCTTATTATCAGCCATAAGAATCTTTTGATCAGAGTGCAACCAATGTTGAATATAAAGTTTCTTAATCATCTCAATGCCAGCTCTCTCTGTCTCTTTGATTAAATAATCAAGCTCATTTAATGTTCTAGCGATCACTTCTTCAATAGTTAATGGGGGTAAATTTTTCGTTTCAGGATAATTAGCCAGCAATTGATTTAATGGTTGAGTTGGATGGGAATTGTTAACATTGATACCACAATGAGCAACACAATGAACATCATTTCCAATCAAACTGGAAGAGACGATAATCCCACCAATCTTAACAGTTCGTCCCCAGTAAATGTCATTCGGCCATTTAAGATGTAAATCTATCGGGAAAAAAAAAAGAATAAAAAAAATAACAATAACATGAAAAACACTTCAGGTGAAAGAGAGATGAAGAAAAAAAAAATGAATCGAAAGAAGGAAAAAGTGTAAAAAAAAAATGGAAAGAAAAAACAACATACTAGACAGAATATTCTGTTGATTAGATTAATTGTTGATAATCTGTTCTTAATTTTTTGTTTTACTCTTTCTCTTAATTGTTTACCTGATTTCTCATAACCCAATTCTCTTGTTATCCCTCGGTAAATTGCTAAAGAAATCAAATGCTGAACCAAACCCAAACTTTGTCCAAGTCGAGATGAAAGTGGAATGTGACATGAGATTGAAAACATGGCGCATCCTTTAGGAGAAACCCAAAGATTTCCACTTCTTCCTCTGCCCTGAGTTTGCTGTCCAGCGACAACTATTAAACCATCAATAGAGGTCAATGGCTCCATAAGGTGAATAGTTGATGTGGTCACTTCAGAATAAACAACAGTATGACCAAAGCGAAATGATTCCAGATTAGAAAAATACCGATCAAAGTTGAATGAAGTAAAAGGTAATGAGGTAAGTGGAACATTAAATATGATTGGTATCCTCGGATGTGTTTCAATAACCTCATCACCACCATTTCCACCATTTTTGATGAAAACAGGTAAACTGGAATTACTATTAACCTCTCTAATTAACTTGTCATTTAAGCAATTATTGTAACGAGAGACACAATAAGCCGCAGTAATTGAAGGTGAAACACTTGAATCAACTGAATCTTTTTTCACACAAGAGGTAATTCGTTGGTTAGATAAAATGGAAGACATTCTTATATTAGGTTTTATCATAATAATAAATAAATTCTAAATGAAAACAATTGATCACACAATTCTAAATCTAATTAGTCTGATGTTACTAAAAAAACTAAAATCAACATTTAACTTTTTCCAAATGCAATCGAATTTGTCAATCCACCAGGTGGCACCAAAGAACAAAAAAGAAGAGAGAAAGTCTCCAAGAGATGGCGACACATTTTCGAATTTTATTTTCTCTTTAATTTTTTTTTTCTGCAAATGTTTTTGTTGTTTAATTTATTAATTATTCTTTCTACTGACTAAAGTTGATCTCTTTTCTTTTTGCTTTATATTAAATTTAATTGTGTTTCTCTCTCTCTCTTTCTCTCATCTTCCTCTCTCTCTCTCTCTCTAGAGATGAATAAACCTAAGGCTTATTGTATCTGTCGATCATCGGACTCTACTCGTTTTATGATTGGTTGTGATTCATGTAATGAATGGTATCATGGAGATTGTATTTCTATTACTGAAGAACTTGCTAAAACAATAACTAAATTTTATTGTCTAATGTGTCGTGACGCTAATCCTGCTCTGGTAATTGAATATAATAAGGACAAGTCAACTTCTAAACAAGGGACTGTTCGGAGAAAGAAGCAACAATCATCAAATCGTTCCAACAAAGTTGCCCGTTTGGAAGATGGTTTTGGAAGGTCAGAGAATAGAGTTAAATTTGCCGATGAAGATGAGGATGATGAGGAAGAATTTGATAATGATGATGATGATCGTGATGAGACCTTCAAAATTGAGAATGAGCTTACTGAGAAAAGTAGCCATAAGAAATCTAAAAGTCGATCAAGACCTAATAGGAAGACAACAAATACCCGATCATCAATGGTTAACAAAAGTAGTAGAAGTAACAAAACACATCGAACCAGAGAAAGAGAAAGTTATGAAAATGATGATAACAGTATAAGACAATGTTATGGTCCAGGTTGTGTTAATATTGCCAGGCGAAGTTCAAAGTATTGTTCAGATGAATGTGGTCTCAGATTAGCTCACAATCGGATGGTTGAAATTTTACCCCAACGAATAACAGACTGGCGAAGTACAGGATCTACAGCTGATGTTTTTAGTAATAGAGAATTGGAAAATATTAAAAAAGAAACTGAAGCGGCTAAAAAATTCCTCGAAGAATTGGATGTTAAACAGAAAGAATTGGATTCAATGATCGCCGAAGCTAAAAAGTTACCAGCAATTTCTGAAGATGAAGCCGATGACTCGGAATCAGGTGATGCTGAGTTAATGATCTACTGTGTAACCTGTGGCCATGAAATCGCTTCAAGAACGGCAATGAGACACATGGAAAGATGTTTCAATAAATTTGAAAGTCAAATTTCTTACTTTGGAGCAACAAAGACAAAAGTTGATGGTGTTTTCTGTAATGTTTACAGTTCTCAGCAGAAAACTTACTGTATGAGATTAAAAGTACTTTGTCCAGAACATACTAAAGAACAGCGAATCCCAGATACCGAAATTTGCGGCTTCCCGCTGGTCATAAATTGTTTCGAACCTACCGGAACCTATTGTCGATTACCAAAGAAAAAGTGTATGCGACATTATTGCTGGGAAAAACTTCGTCAAGCTCAATTAGACATGGAAAAAGTACAAAAATGGTTCAAATTAGAAGAATTATTGGAAAAAGAAGCGAAAATTGGATTCACAATGTCCAGTCGATCGGCGATTCTTGGTTTACTTCTTCATAAGACCGACATTCAAGATTAAAGTGAAAATTTATCGTTATCAAATTAATGGAAATAATGTAAAAACAAAATATTCCCTTGTAAAGTAACATTGTATTTTTTATTATTATTTATCATTCGAAAACATTTAAACATTAATTATGTTCTGTAAAACAAATTGTGTGCGTTGTTGATTTTTGTGACCAACACGACGGGAACGGGTTAATATTTTCCTCTTTTTTTTGATGTTTTTCTTTTCTAAAATCGTTTGAGAAACTCTTCAGCAGTTATTCTTGCTCTGGCATTGATCGCCAATTTCATCTCGTTGATCTCCTTATCAATCTCTTCCATAAAGTGAATAATAAAATCAATTATCTTGAAACGATTCATATATTCGGTGTGAATATTGGTAACCAGAAACGATATATCATAACCGGTAGGTGGTTGTTGGGTGGGATGGGTTTTCTCATCAAGAATTGTTGAACTTCGGTTATCACCTAGAGAAAGAGGTTTACGCCTTAGGATGACAAATTTATCCGCTCTCATCATCAAGAATCGAGTAAATTTGTGAACAAGAATCCTTTCAATATCATCTGCTTGTTTAACAGCAATTGAGATACGAACCGAGTTTATTGATGATTCAATGAGAACCCTTTCTTTATCATTACGACTGATTGTCACTGGATTCAAAAGTAATTCCTTATTACCACGAACCTCAACCTCGGGTTTATTGTGTCTCTCAACAACTTGAGAATTAAAATCAGTTAAACAAATAGCAGCTTCCAAGGTTTTACGAACCGCAGCTAAGTATGGCCTTAGAGTGGCAGACATATTGGAAATGGAAAATTATTCAGAGTCTATTGATTATTCCAGTATTTTTCTTCTTAGTAATTTGATATTCTATAAATCGGGTCACCTTGATTCAGTTGAAACAATCAAAAGGTGGACACATAGACACACAATAGATTGAAAAAGAGAAAATTTCACTTTGACTGGACCAGAAGAGTAAAAAAAATTACACTGGTAAGCAATAATATTGAGAGAAAATGGTGAACCTAAAAAAAAGAGTGAAAATCACAAAGAGAAAACAAAAAAAACAGTTAATCACAATTGGAATTAATTTGATGATTTAATCAATTCAAGAAAGAAAATCAAACATGTTGGCTAGTTAATTGTTCTTACCTGTTTGATTAACCGGATGGAAAGATGATTAATTAAACGATTTTAATCACAATTTAATAATTTCTACTCTCTTTTCTGTCAACACAAACTGAAGAGAAGAAACAAAACATTCTCTTCTTTTCTCTTTCTTTTTTTCTCTCTTTCTTTTTTCTCTTTCTACCCTCTCTTTCTTTTCCTTTTTCTCTTTTAATTTTTTCCTCTCACTACCTGGAAGTAGGTGGATTCATTTCATCGATACAATTGTAATTAATTGAAACATCCTTTTCTTTTCCTTTGTTATCTTTCAATTTTAATTGATTCTCTGTGTGAAAATTGAAACTTCTTCATCAAAATCTAAGAGATTAGTGAATAATTCATCTGATTGTTAATCTTAATTGTGTTTTCATCTTTTCTCCTCTATCAGAATTCATATTCTTCATCATCTTTGTTTTCTTTTTTTTCATATTCTCTCTCTGTCTCTCTGTCATATCGAGATGGGCCTTAATTGCTGTTGTGGTTAAATCATCATTTTAATTGTTATCTAATTGATAAGATTTGATTTGGAACTAATTTCAACCAAGTGAAGGTAAGTTGTCCTTATTAGGTTGGATTCTCTTTTTTTCTGTTTTCTGTTTACATTTATAGTGATCAATATATTTGATGTTGTATCTTTAATTTTTATTTATTCTAATTGGAGTAATCAAATTTATATTCTCAATTAATTGAGTAATTTATTTGGAAAATATTAATAATTTTATTCTTCTTTCTTTTAGATTGGTATAGTTTGCTAACTGGAAGGTGACGGATATCAGCTGATTGATCATCATGAGTGATTTTACTCAATTCAAAGCAATTAATTCTAAATTAAAGAAACGTTTTCTTCTACGTAAACCTAATTTCTCTGAGGCTAGTCAACAATTTAGTGATTTAAGTCAAGATTGCAAAGAATTTAAGGTAAGTGGCTCAATAACGACTGAAAGCTCCGATATTTTGCTTTCAATTTAAAATGTTCAAATCGTTAAATGATTTTGTTTATTTAGTTATTCGCAGGCCATTGTTGTCTGGCATCAGCACGATGTGAACACTCACTAGGAAACACTAACATGGAGTTACAAGCTCTACTTCAAGGTGCTCGTTATTTTGCCGAGGGTAAAGAAATGAATGCCGCCATATCAGCTTATCGTCACGCTTTACTTATCTCAGCGGAAGCCGCTTTACCTTATATTTACACAGAACTAGCTCGATTATATGAGAAACACCGTCGATTCAACGAGGCTGCTATTGTCTACGAAGAGGCCACAATGTACCGTGAAGCGGCCAATTGCTACATGGATGGTCACCTTTACGACAAAGCCTTAACTTGTTTCAATAAACTGGACAAGCAAAAGTTGAAAGTAAACGATGAAATATCAATCTTCTTATTGAAATTGTTTCTTTACGATGTTCGTCGACTTTCACTTGAATTTCCAGTTGTAAATTATACCTGTGAAGATGATGATATTATCTCATTGAATATTCTATTGGAATCACTTTTCTATTTTGAAACTGAACATGGAGAAGGTGTTGAAATTAAGAGTAACATTATCGCCAAATTAAATCCCTTTTTGGATGGAAGACAAAAGGAACTTCTTTCTCTTGGTGATCCGAAAACTGAATCAAATGAAATTTCTAATGGATTGTTCAATTTGAGAATCTAATCAACGTTGGAAACATCATGAAGGCAATCAAATTATTATTATTACATTCCCAAGGAATAATCCAAAGTTATGGTCGCAATTCAATCGATATCAAAATTAATCGAGGATAAAATCTTAATGGTCTTAATATTTTAATTATCCATCTTCCCAATTTTAAACCAAAGATACACTTAATTAATGGCAAATGGATTAAATCAAATTTATATTTGTCATGAAACTGACTTTTCCCGTGAAGATAATCAATTCAATCGTTGCCCAGATTAAGAGACAAACTTGAAATTAATTGTGAAAATAAGTTATTACTATTTATTTTGATTTAAGTCTTTTTTATGACAATTGTTATTTTCTTATGGCTACAATATTGCATTCTAATTGTTATGTTAAATTGTTTACTTTTTTTTGTGATTTTAAAATTGATTAACATGTTGAAATTGGCAGCAAAGTATAAATTGAATGCAAAGTGGGCAGAGATTGTATTTTTAGGAAGTTAATTAATTACTTTTTAATTGTTTGAGTATTTAAAGAAAATGAAGAGAAAAAGAAATTCTAATGAAAAGTAAACAATTAACAATGAGGCAGAAATAGTTAACAATTAAATTATTGTCTTTCTCTTAAATTAATAATTATGTCGGTGCACTAATATAAAAACAATTAGTTAAATTGTCGTGATTAAGTTGAGCTTGTGTTGTTGGTGGATTGAAATTTCCACTGACACTTTCCCCACCTTCTCCCACCATTACCGCCATATCAATTTGCCCTTGGGGTGGGCTAGTAGCCGACGAGGGTGAAAGTGTCACTTGATTAGTTAATTTGGTTGCTGGTGATGATCCAAGGGGAGTGTGATGATAATGGTGACGGTGGTGGTAGGGTAAGGGTGGGGGTGGATGGATTGGTGGTGGATTCTGGTAAAGGAGAGGGTGAGGTTGACTGAAGGTCGAAGGTGGTGAAGGTAAATCGGGTGAAGCCGAGTCAAGGTGGAGAGAGGGCACAATATTGATGGAGGGTGGAAAATGGAGTTGGAAATCTCCGAGTTCCTCGGCGGTTCTTTCCTCTGAGATACTTTGATGTCGACTTGATGAGCTTCCGATTGACTTTAAATCATCACAATTAAGGCGATTATCATTTTCACCAACAGAGGATGAACTTAATTTGGGCTGTAAGGGCTGACTAGCGCTCGGTGGTGATGATTGTTGTTGATTTTGTCCTCCTACAGAACTATGACTCATATTGGCACCGTTAGAATTTGATGTTACCGAACCGGTTCGACTTCGTTTACGTTTTAACGATGCTTTTGAAGCTCGAATTGAATTACCACGGGTTAGGAATGTTTTCTTACTCTTAATAGGCGAGGGTCTAATTAGGTAGATAAAGTCGCCCTCCTCTAATTTCAGGTCACACGAAGGGTTAATAATGACGTACGATATCGTGCTTCGTTTTTCCGATACATCATCTGGAAGAAAAAAGAGAATGAAGGTCAATTGAACTTTTTTGAGCTTTTTTTCGAGGTTTTCTCTTCTTTTTTTGCTACGAACCATAATCTTCGATGGGGCATCCTAAATCTTGCATTCGATTCTTGACCAAATTCCCAATCTCTTGACGTTCGATTTCGGCGGATAATTGTTGGTATCGAACTCGTTCATTTAGAACTGGAAAAACAAAGTCCAAGTTTATCTGCGAGAAAAGAGAGAAAGTCAGTAAAGATGATCGATTTTGTCTTGAACAGTTTGTCCATGTTCGTAGTCGCGAACTTACAGTTGTTGCATCAGGAGTGTGAGAACCTTGAGTTCGATAGATACCAATTGGAATCTCACATGTTGTCGAGCAGAGTTTCTGATACAATCTACCATAAGTTCGTATCCAAAGGTCATCTTTTGTGATCTTCATGGAGGACAGGAAACCAGAACCTGGAGCCTGATCAATTCCAAGTAACAATCTAATTATTGTTATCATGTAATCCTTGACAAACGCTTGATACAATAAAGTGTCCAGCATTGAAGCACTGAAAACCGAACCAGCGGCAAAGGGAAGTCGAAACATGTACGAAATATGTGAACCAATTTCCCGTTCATGCTGAAAAAAAAGAAAACAATCCAAACGAATACTTAGAATTCATTCATTTATAGAAACAAACAGTTTCAATTGATACCTTTTCCATTTTCGAGAGTGAAAGTGCATAAGTGTCATGGGCTCGAAATTGCATAAACCTCATGTTCGAGGATTGACTTAACTCGGTTATGATTCGGACACTTGGAAACATTTTGAACATTGTTTGAACTGCGACAATTGTATTACAATCAGCGAGGTAATCTTCCTCGGCGGAATTGGTTGTCTCCTTATTAACCACAACAACTGAATCAGCGAGATTGATTCCTGCTTTAATTAAATCATCCAAACTGAATGAGAGGATAACAAAAAACACTAACGATGAGAACTTTTCAATCACAATTGAGCATCACCATGAATTCAAACTGATTCATTGAGATGAACTGACCAGAGGTAAAAATTTTTCTTCTTTTTCAATTATAATCTTCATACTTTTAGATTGAGTTTCATACAGAATTTTATCTGAGAATAAAAGTTTTTTTCTTCTTGAACTTTAATTCTTACTCGAGGTTCTGGTTATTTGATTGGTGAATGGTTGATTAACTTTCTATCTGATTGATTGATTATTTTTCATCTTCTTCTCCAATATTGATTGGAATATCATTCCTTTCTCTCTTTCTTTTTTCTTGACCAATCATAAACTTACCTGTCAATTGAACCTTGCATCCAATAGACTAATGGAAACCATGAGATCGCATCAATAAACGCTTGAGTTGGTTCCGTTTCGAGGAGTATGATTATCGGTTGTAGAGATTTAGCTGAATGAAAATGGGCTCGAAGTGGAACTAGAAAGTTGTAAATAGCGTTAGATGCGAAATCGGCTGCTAGAATTATACACCGAGTTGTCCAATTGTATTCACGAGCATTTCGATGGGTACAATGTTCACATTCGGTGGCTAACATCATACAACAAGCGGGTTTCTTTTCCTTTACAAGGTAGCAAAGGGTTGGACTAACACCGACGTAAGGTGACACTGGAGGGAATCCTTTCACAACTCTGTTCGAGAAAAAAAAGAGTGGAAATGAAATCGAAACGATTTTCGAAAAAGGGTTTGCATGAACTTACTCTGAACTTTCGGCCGGTGTTATCCAGGTAAGATCACATAGTTTCTCTTTGGGTTCTTTAAACTTTTCATCTTTCGACTCTGAATCCTCTTCGTCTAGAGAATCGTCAAACATAACGGGAACTGCTGCAATTGAGGGTCTTCGTCCTCTCGCTGAGACCACATCGGTCGGTGATGAGTCTCTCGAGGGAAGGCCAAACTCAATTCGAGGCACTTCAAGGTGAATTCCTCCTTTTCGACTCATAACTTTTTTCGTTTTAGCGGCAAAATCGGAGACAACTTTTTTTATTCGCGCTGGAGATGAGTCGCGGCGAGATTTTCTCGATGAATCAAGGTCAGTTGATGAACCGAAAATTGAACTTGATTTCCGTCGATTTGAAGGTGAACCACCAAGCATTTCAATCATTGAATTTTTCTTACTACTCACTGAGAGACAATCTCCCGTGGAAATACTTGAAACGGAAGATAGCCTTCTGATGATATCCTGTTCATCGGCTTTCAACAAATTTTCACCCGACTCATCACCGGTAGTATCACAAGTGGTCAATCCAATTTCAATTGACCCACCAACAGATAGGCTACTATTTACTTTGATTAAATTACTCGACATGAAAGTAGTACCACCGCCCGAGGTTATAGTTGATTGTTGCTGATTGTAGCCTGAAGTATGTCCACCCCCACTCATCATGGGTCGACTCTCAGAACAAGCACTATTAGTCCCACCCCGTGCACTCACTGAACCAACTACCTCCGAATTAGGAGTCAATAGGAAAGCCGAGTTTTCCTCTTTAGTAATATTCATATAAAAACATATATCAGATGCTTTCAGGATGTAACTTGGCCCAGGGTTCAACATAATCGGCCAAGTACCTTTCATATCGGTTTGAACTCCAATCAAGGCCACTCCATATCTAATTGATTGTGTTTATAAGATCAAATTAATATTCTAAATTCTAAATTTCCCTCGAAACTTGTACACTTACTTTCGATGAGAATGAAAAGAAGCATAGGTGAAACTTTTTCCTTCGTATTCACCAAAAAATCGTGAATCACTCAATCGAATGTGATAGATTTCGTTCCCTGAACATTTACCATATAATCGATGCCACTCTTCATCTGATGTTTGACCCTCTCTGGATCAGTAGTTAGCAAACAGCGAGAGAGAGAAAGGAAAGTATCACAATTTATGAAATCATTTGATTCTAATTGATTGGTAAATTGATTTTGCTATTCACTTACTGTCCCCGTGAAGTGTGAAGCAAAAGAGTGACCAATGTTGAAGTTCCTGGACAAAGGCAATTGTTGGCCAAAAGTGCATATTTAAATTCATCTTCACAAACAACGTGCTCTATGTGAATACGAATCGATAAGATTAGTACAATCGAAGGAACAAAAAGTTCTGAAAATCTTTTTCTATCTTAAACTTTACCTGCGAAAACAACATGAATCTTATTCTCGGGTCGATAGATTTGAACATATTGAGGTACACTGGGTGCGAAATCCCTTACAGCCCAAGATCTTAAAATCGTATGTTCATCCTGATTGAGAACAATTGAAAACAAAACAAAAAAAAGACAATTAACCATCTAATACAAAGAAATCAATTTAATTGTAAACTCACAGCAGCTCCAAGATCAGCATAGTTACGAGCAGCCAGTATGAAAACAGCCTCAGCTGCATCGACCCTAATTAATTAAGATGATTAATGATTACCAGAACAATCAATAAACAAGCAAGCAATTAATTACCTCGCTCTTGTAAGATCAGAGTCTTTCAGTGCTGAACCTTGAATATAAATAACTCGCTGAGCCCACATTGGTACTTGGAGTATCATCTTCATGGTTGTATCAAGTTCACAGGGTGATAAAAGTACAACATAAAAATCCTGTAACAATTAACAGTGAGAAAGAAAAAAATTGTTTACAATTTAATGTCCAATCAATTTTCCCATGAACAAATTTACCTGTAAAAGTGGATGAGCATAAAATTCATTGAGAAAGTCCATCACGGTGTCCGTTCGTAAAGTGGTACTACAAACGACAACGTGCTTCTCAGTTTGAGCTCTTTGAACACTGTAATTACCACCTAATTTTTGTCTCTCCATCCAAGTGCAGGCTAATTGTTCAAATTGTGTTGGAAGTACAATCAGAGCGACACAAATCATAATCACCATGAACAACTGACTAGGCATATTCTCAGGTTTATAATCACCATAACCCACCGTGGCAAAAGTCACCACCACAAAGTAAAGCGATTCAAATAGGTTGACATTTCGTCCACCGGCTCGTTGACAGTGTTGAAATCCACAGACACTTATAATACAAACGATAGTTAATTTAATCTTCTATCAAACAATTTAACTAATCTTGTTAATCTTTGTAATTACCTTGTAAATATAAGACAAATTAAGGTTGTGATTAAAATTGTTAATCGCTGTGATAAGGCTGATTGAGATTGTTGCATCGCTCGGTGAACATCATTCTGTTAATTGTATTTAAATTTAGTTAATTTATTAGTTTAAATAACAATCAATCGATTGTACAAACAATTGGCTTAATGATTGTTGAAAGTTAAAGTTTTTTTTTCGGGGGAAATTAATTTTCAAATAATCAATTGAATCACGTTAATCATCAGCAAAAATTATGACAATTAACATTCATCTTTTTAAATTGTCTATCATTTGAAATCAATTGAACTTGATTAACCTTCCTGCTTCGTTTACTACAACAATCAATTTCAATTGTGAGTAATTAAAATCCAATAGAAAGCAATTTAAATTGTTTAATCCAATCAGATGATTTAATCCTCACTTATTTTTTTTACTCTCAATCTCAATCACTCGAGATTTGATTTTAATGGTGAAAAAAAGAGGTGATAATTGTTACTATTAATAAATTGTTTTCTCTGTTAATTAAATGTACAAAATGTTAAAAAATTAATCAAAGCAATTAACTAATTACTTACAAACATTTTCTCAAGTGTTTGCTTAGCCAGCCAACAATGAAGAAAAGTTGGAACAAAAATACTTCGTATTGGTGGATAAAATATCTGTAACAATTAACGAGAGAAAGTTAACAATTTACTGATTGTGATAGCAATTAATTGATTAGTTTAAATTGTTCAACTTACCGAGATAAAAAATGGTGTATTATTAACTATTTCCAGAATAAAATAGAATGAAAAAAGTGTCCTCATTAAACTGCTCTGGAAATCATGACAATCACAATTAAATCAAATGGTTAATCTCATGTAAATAGATACTAATATTTATCTATTAATTGTTGTATTATGATTAACTTAATTGTTCATTTACCTTTTTGGTTAAATAAACTAACAAGATAACCTCTGATATGAATAATATTGAAATGATCGCTTCGAATAGCCAAATGATGAAACTACGTTGAACCCAAATGATTCCCTTCCTGTAACAATTAACAGACAAAATTAGTTAATTTAATCAAAATTTTTAGAAAGTTAATCAATTTACCAATTAATTGGACCAGTATTCAAAGATATAACTGTCTTATTTTCAGAGAAGGACGGAATCGTTTGATACATTGATTTAGATCCTTTAACTGGACCAATATGATTACAAGCTGGACTGTTAATAATAAGATATTAATTAATAATTGGTGGTAACAATTAGCTGATTGTTGTAGGAATCAGGAGATCGGAAGATATTGATTGATACTTACCAATCAGCTGGATCAGGTCCATCATCAAGCATAACCCGAATTACATAAAGTAAACAAGCGAAAAGTTTTAGGACCATTTTAACTCCTCGAATACGAAAACCTAAATTGTAAACAATTAAAAATTGTGATTATCCCATTTTCTAATTGTGAAAGTTTAATACGTCTGTTGATTGATTGATTGTTTCTCTTTCTTCATATTATCATGTAAATCAATGGGAAGTTTATAACAACTTGATGATAACATAATCAAATTGTTTACGAATTGAAAGATTTACACAAAAAAGAAACAAATTTAAATCTTATTTATTTTCTGTTCTCAATTTTTCTGTTAACAGAATCTCTCTCTCTCTCTCTCTCTCTCTCTCTCTCTATCTGATGAATGATAATAATAAGAAGTCTAGAATAAGAATTCGACAGAATTTATATATCTCTCTCATACAGAACTTATCATCGCAATTCTCTTGTATCTTTGTTGTTATTTGTAGGTGAAGAATATAATCTAATCTATTTTTCGAAAAATTTTACAATCCGACATTTGTCATCAAGGAAGAGAAGATGAAAAAGAAGAAGAAAAAATAAAAAGTACAAGTCTCGAATTCATGGATAAATCTTATGGAATTTGATTTTCTATCTTCACGTCAGAACTTTTATTCAAGTTTTAAACTTTTTCCCTTTTATATAAGGTAAATCTCCATTCTCAACGGAATCTTAATATTAATATAATGATAAAGCAAAGAATTTGAAAACAAAATAACAAATAATATTGATCATAAATTGATAATATTAATACAGGAGAGTTCATTTCTCCCTGGAGAGAGAGAGAGAGGGAGAGAATAACATTTACGAAATCAGAATTGATCATAGCTCTTGATTTAAATTGTGCTTAGTTGATTGTAAACTTACTTGATTTCTTGTTCTTAATCAAATATTCCTGAAGCCTTTCCTTAAACGTATTTTCATTCACATAGAATTCAACTCGAACCCTGTAAATATGGATAAGAAAAATGTAAGATCTCAATTAGTTAATTGTTAATAGAATTCAGATTTTTATTGTAGAAGGAAAAAAAGTTTAATCAAACAATTTAATTGGTAGTAAATGTAATAAATAATGTACGAATTTGTATTCACATTAGTTCAGTTTACAAGATAGATTGTGTTGTATATTCATGATTAGGATTATGTTGATGATTTGATTATCATGATCATTATCATTTTAATAAGAGCCCATTGTAATTATAATGATGATATTTATTGTCTGATGAAAAAGGAGATTGATTTAACATGGAAGTCAAATTGAATTGAATGTTTTCAAGGGATAATCAAGGTAAACAAGATGAGGATAAAAGGTTAACCTGGTGATAAAAATGAGATGAGAATTTGAGGATTTTCATCACCATCATCGTAATTATTTCCATCCCCTTTGAGGTGGAATTGGTGTTGAACATTTACCTTGATTCAAAAGGAAAAGGATGAGTCCGGAAGATAAAATTCAGAATCAGAGGAAAAGGATGAATTTAGTTACTTGTTGATTGTTTTCATCTAACAAGATAAGATTCTAGTTAATAATGATGGTGAGAAATGATGACGATGGTGATGATATGAAGTGTATGAGAAAGTGAGAGAGACAAGTACCTGAAGAGGAAATGATGATGATGGTGATGATGAGAGACAAGAAGAGAAAAAGTAAATTCTAATTGTTACCTGATTTAGGAAATTGTCAGAAAATCACGAATTCCAGGTAATTTAGTTTAGAACTTTTTTTTTCCTCAGAACTTTATCTTCGCCTTTCCTCTAAGGATGATGAGGATGATGAGGGTGATGATAAAAAGCTTATCATCATGTAGATTCATTATCCTTTGATTACTACTTCTTACAAAATTATCTTCATCATCAAAGGTAATCATTGTTTTCGTATGTATCTTAAAAGCCTCAAGTGATGAAGATGAATAGATGATTATTATTATCAAGAATTAATTGTTGCAAGTTTTTCTTTGTGCTTCCTCGAGTCTGTTGATTGTTACGAGGAGGAAAAAAAATTAATTGTGGTTAATCTTAAACCCTAAGTGGTTATTTTTATCAACATACAATTAAAAGTTTGATTAACCATCAAGGAAGCTAATTAATTAATTATTAAATTGTATTTTCCTAGTTGAAAAAGGGAAAATCAATTTAACTGATTGATTGATGAGACAAAACCAGAACAAAGTTTCATCAGACTCATGATGATCAGTTAATTGTTGTGGATTTAATTTGTTTAATTAAACCAAATTAATTGAAATAATTGTCATTTACAGACAAACAAAATTCAAGTGACAATTATTCATTTTATTACTTGATTACTGATTAAAGTCTTAGACTATTGATCAACTGTTGTAACATGATTGATACAATCAAGTTAATCAAGTTAATTGTGACCAATTTATCTTGTCTCTTTACATTTAGCTGATTATCAGACTTCATTATTATCATGATTGACTTTTACTTTCCATGAAAATGTTAATCTTGAAATTTCCGGTTACTATTAATTGTTTAGGTGACAAACACAATTAACTGGTTAACAATTTGATATTATTGATTATGATTAATATTATTTATGTTGATTATAATCACATATTTGATGATAAAAGCTTCAATTGCCTAAGGGTAATCAAGCTAATCAAAAGCAACTGTTAATCATTATCAAACTGATGTAACAATTAAACATTGTCAACATTTTGTTTTCCCTATTATTTTAATCATTGAATTAATCATTAACCTTCACAATCAACATTAATTAAACATATAGTAAATATAATTGATTGAAATTCTGTCTGGTTTAAAGTGTAATTTAAATTTATCGTTGATTAGGTTGATCCAAATTGAACTGAATCAGTTTGGAAAGTGAATTTAATTTCATTGTTTAATTTAATTTTCAATTTCCAATAAATTGATTGTGCTTCAGGTGAAACAGTTTCAATATCAGATGAAAATTAATCAACACCATGATGAATATCAGCCAGAAAATTTGAATAAAATTCATTGATTAGAATTTTTTTTTTCTTCTCTATTATCTAAATTATCATAGGAAAATAAATTGCTAGGTAGAATCACAATTTAAAAAGACTCACCTAAATTGTGATTTAATTTAACAACAATTTAATCATTAGTTTATCGTCAACAGATGATGGTTTAAATAATACTGATTATGGACATCATGTTGATCTTAATGTTACAATTCAGTAAAAATGAATATTAATTCAATCAAATTGTGAATAAATTTATTGAGGTAAAGTTATTATCTTGTGACAACTTTGATTCATTGTGAATTCATCGAGGATATGAAACAACTATCGATCAAATTGAAATTGTATTTATATTGATTTCATGGTAACTGTAGTAACAGCGAACGAAGATAATATTAGAACTTTCATTTTAGAACTTATATTGTTCGAGAGTATATGAGATAAGATGACGAAGACCAAGAGGATGATGATGATGATAAAAAAGTCAAAGGTAAGAGAAAATGAAATTGATGATTCGAAAAGTTATCAAACTAATGATAAACATTTTTGTTCTAAAACTTGAACAAAGTTAAATTTCATATTAATATGATCATTTCAACGACTGAGCTTTAAGAACAATGATTAAGTTAATGATGCAAAAAGAGTGGATCATGGTAGTTGAATGAAATTGGTTACTATTTACTTGGTTAGAACTTTTTAACTTATTGTTGAAATCGAGGTAAGAAAGTTTTTATTTTCTTTCGATTTCGATTTCTCATCAAGATATTTGTGTGTACAAACCTCGGAGTAAATGCTAAGTTATCGTAACTATCGGTCGATTTTAGTGTACTTTCAGGGGTAAAGTACGACGGCGAAGAGGTGGAATGTAAGATGAGGATGAAAATTTCGCAAATGAATCGGAAATTGTGGTATCTTCCCGTCGCGATATGTCCGTTTGAAATGAACTTCGATTCAGTGTGTGTCGTGATGAGGTTGAAGTGGTTGAGGCTATTGAAGGTGTTCGTAATTGGGTCAAGTTAAGGCAATCGGTCATTGTTTGATGTCGAGTTGTTGAAGATCGACGAGAGGATGTCGACGGTGACCTAAGTCTACCTGGATAACGAAAAAACCAAAGGTTGGACATGATTGAAAAAGTGGTTGATGGACAAAGAGACAATGACCAACGATGTTTATGGTTTAGTGATGAACGAGTGGTCAGTAGATTTTCATTAGATGAAAGTTGAGATGAGGAAACAGTTGACCCACAGTTTGAAGGGACCAAATGATCAGAATCACCAATAACAATAACCTCACTGCCCTCTTCGTCTTGGTCACTCTCACTGGACGGTACCAAGTGATTGTAATAATAGTAATAACAATAGTAATGATGATACACCGATGAGTAGCGATTGAGTTTTACATTGAACAACATTTAACAATTAAAAAACAGTTGACAATAACAGTTAACACAATAACGATTACAAAGTGATTTTTTCAACATTGCAAACAGTGTAACAATTAGGCTAATCAATGATAACCATGAATATTTGATTAGTCTCCATCACGAATCAAGCTCAGAATTATAAATGAAACAACAAGGTGATAGAGAGAGAGAGAGAGAGAGAGAGAGAGAGAGAGAGAGAGAGAGAAAAACTCACTTCGAGTTTCTTGCTACCTGGTGAAAAAAGTTCTAACTCTAGGCTTGAAACTCATATAAGCTCAATCTCGTCTTCATCTCGAGTGTATGATAAACATGATGAAAGATGAGGAAGAAAAAAATTCTTTTCTCAATACTCACTTTTCGATTATGCTTCAATTTTTTCTCTATAAAATCATCATTCTCATCATCTAGGCCATCATCCACTCCCAATGACAACCACTTTCTACTTACTGATCATCATCATCAGCATCATGATGCTTGAACTTTATCATCGACAACGAGAAAAACAGTAACAAGTAAACATCATCAATGTAATTTAATTTAATTTTTCAGTTCATGAAATCCAATTATTGTAAATATCAATAATAATCATCCTTGAATATAAAGTTGATAATCAACTAGTTAACCATAAACTCACTGGACATTGTTACTAAGAGATTACAATTAATTTTTTTTTCTTGAATCTGACCATTAACTGGACATTACAATATTACATATTGTATATTATTATTATCATCATGATTACCATGATTTTATATTTTGATGATTATGGTGTCCATTGATTGACCTTAATATGATTAAAGTCATATTCATTAATCAAAGTTGATGGTTAGTTTGAAAGTAATAGTAATAATCATCATCAGGTTAGTGTATTTACTTGACCTGTCAAATAGTATCAAATTGTTAACATTATCATTGATTAATGGTCATCATAATCACCCTGATAATTATAATGATAATAAGAGGTAAATGTAATAATAATCAAGTAAGAAAAACAATATTACTCCAATCGAAAGTTGATCTGAACTTTTTTTTTCTGTTCTAATATTTAGTTTTATTATCATCTTATTTTTACTATAATTGATTAATTTCGCCTGCTAATTAACTTAAGGTAATCAATTGATCACAGTTAATTAGTTAGAACATTTTATTTGTTTTTTTGCATCGATTTACTAATTAATTACTCAGTCAATCAAAGTCATCGATCTTATTACTTATCATTTCTTGGAATGAAAAAAAAATCAACTCACAAAAATGTTATCGTAATTATCTTGTTATTATTTAATAATTAAATTCTATCATCATCAATAAGCGACACTCTTTTCTTAAGATATCAATAGTTAATTGTTCAGTTAATTGTTGATAAATTTTCACTCGGTGTTTATATTTACCCATAGATGGCGACATTGAACAGAAAAATTCTAGAAAAAGTTACAATTGTTTTGGAGTAAATTAATTGAATTGTGATGGAAATTAAATCAATGAGATTCTAATTAAGATAATTTTTGTTGAGTTTTTTTATTTCATTAATCTTTAGGTTGTTGATTAGCTGTAAAAACCT